GCTAGCTGCACAAACACACACACAAAGACCACAGTTAAGAAAGTGGCATTCAAGTTCCCCACAAGTACAATTCTGTATTTGTCTACCAATCATGCAAACGCAACATACAAATAAGGGGTTAGCTTCTACTTGCTCCCATTTGCCAGATAGCAAAGAGAAGCAAAATGAGTCAAATCCAAGAAGGTGAAAATGATTTCTTAAGAAAGAGGACACACGTTTACCAACATTATTATTAAACTACAGGATTATTTTGTTCCCTTCCCCTGAAACTAGTAACTGCATATGAATTCAAAAGCTAACAGTGTTCAGTGAAAACACACAATATTCTATTACTCAAGTATCAGTAAAAGTCCCTTATCAGTCACCGGGCATCTTTGTACCCTGGACTTTGACACCAGAACAATAAAACGCTGCTATATAATTAGTGACACGTCACCACTACTGCAACATGTACCAAAGTCAACCCATACTCAGATTACAACTGTTCCCACTCTCAGCGGCAGGCACATGTACATCTTTTCTTTAAGCCTAGAATAGGCAGGGCGTATTTTTCAGCAAAATAACTACGTGAACAAGACACGATCTATTTTAAGTCCACAAAGTCAAAAATGTTTTACATTTTAGCTTTGACATTTACTCCAGAGGTTTTAAGACCAAAATGACAGCCCTTCCTCAAACCTACAAGTATTTCCAACGTGTGTTAGGAAAGATTTGGTGGCTCTGGCCGGTTTTATTCAGTGGTTGGAGCACTGGCCTGGGGACCAAAGGGTCATGGGTTCGATTTCCGATTTCCGGCGAAGGACACGTATCTCAGTTGCAGGGTTGATCTCTGACCCTGGTCAGGGCGCATGTGGGAGGGAACCAGTTATGTGTGTCTCTCACATGAATGTTTCTTTCTCTCCACTCCTTCTCCCTCCCTTCCACTCTCACTGAAGATCAATGGAAAAATATCCTCGGGTGAGGAGTAACCAAAACAAGACTTGGTGCACCTTCAACATTTTCCTTTGAGGGGGGGAATGGGGGAGAGAGAAAGAACCCTCTAGTATCATCAACAAATTTTTATCAGAAAGGGCAGAGTTGGCCCAGCTCACTTAGGAACAAATAGGTTTCTATTCTGGTAACCTTACTCTGCAGGGTACTATACTTCATCTAGACAGACGACCTAAGAGGTCATGTTACTCCTGCCCTTTTACGTGTTCCCTTTTGATTTCTTGGTGTCCCCAGCAGAGAACTCAAAGTTCGAAACCCTGTGACAACAACTTCCAAACTATTGGGCAATTATAGTCTCTGGTTCCAGTCCAGGAGGTGAAATGTGTTCAGGGAGAAAGGCCTGAGAAGGGCTCAGCACTCATCACCATCTTCCTGCTGCTGGCTCGCCCCTCCTTGCCCATTCTCAGCCTCTGGATAACCCTGGGCTAAGAGAACACAAGTACTCGTCTCATTTTCAAATAGAATTTTATGAAAACATTTTAAACACTCTAAAACCTTTAACCAAGTGAAAACCTTTGGGAGTACTGTACTTCAAGAACATGGAGAGAGAAATTACTTGTGGGAGGTTGAGGGGGGAAATAGAAAAATAAGAATGAAGGTGTTCATTTGGAAACAATCTTCCTGAAATTTCTAGGTTTTTTTTTAAAAAAAAATAGGTTTTAATCAGCTTGTTTGGGGAATCTTTTTCAAAACATAAAATTTCTCTTGTTTTTATAGACTTTTTTTTTTTTTTAATATACCGGCTTTACATATAGTTAAATGTATTAACAATCAGGACAAACTCAAATGAAATTTGGCATTTCAAGAAATGTATTTAGTTTCTTAAGTATAAGTGTGTGATTTGTTAAATTTTGCTGCAGAACCTCCTGAATATATAAGATCACAGCATCCTTGTTCCAAATTACGTTACCCATGGGACTTAACTCTATTTCCAGGGTAAGCCACTAGATCCGAGGCCTTACACCATTTTTGTCAGGACCTTTGTCATTACAAATTCAAAGGATGATGTCTTTGCTTACATATAAAATATCCCTCTCCTAGGAGTTTGATTTAAAGAAAAAATACTATTTAAGCTGCTGGCGAAACAGTTCTAAATTGCTAATAACTTAGTTTAGTAACAATCTAGTTCAAACATGAATAAATTTCCTGATTTATGTAAAACTTCCTAGTGAACTTGCCTCTTCCATTACTAATTCTCACATGCAAATTACCTGCTTTATCATTGCATAAAAACATGTATGCTCTGGGTACAAACAACAAAAAGGGAAGAGATGTGTGAATCAGCGTGAGGGGATTCTAATCTCAGTTAACTTGAACAATACAGAGATTCAATTCTTAAAAATTCATGCAATCCATACCTCAAAGTAAATTGACATAAGTGCCTAACTTACCCACAGCTTTCTCTGGGAAACCTTGTCAACTTTCTGTGTAGAATATAGTCCTTTCCACCCATGCTGTGAAACCCCCTACCACCTGCCCCGTCTCTCCTAGTCCTCACCCCACCTCTTTCATTGTTGAATTATCCATCTTCTCCACGAGTCTGTAAACTCTACAAAGGCTGGGAATGTGTCATCTTTTTCTTCGCTGAATCCCCAGTTCCCAACTCAGCGATGGCATTTAGGAACCATCCGATGACATCTACTGAGCGACTGTATGAATGGCACAGCAGTTGCCACATTTAATAGGTAGTTATGTGCCAGGAGATGTGCTACAAAGCTTGAACTTACTGTGTGTGGTCTTAAAATTTCACAATAAAAGCCTTCTTTTCCAAAACAAAACTCCTATTAAGACCCAAAGCCAGGTAACTGACTTGCCCAAGGAAACACTGCTTGTAACGAGAAACCCGGACTATCTGTCTTCAACATGCCTACTGCACAGAGGACCTACACTGATGGTCCACGAGAATTGGTGTCCTCAAAGCCACACCTGCATGCCGTCGCACGTGTATCATGAACGCTCCGTGCCCAGATCTTTTCAAATGCTGCTCCTTCACCTCAACTTCTCTAATGCCCTTCCTTTGGTCTCCGCCTCCCAAGTCCAGCTCCAGCCTCATGTCCTCCAGAGAGCCTTTCCCAGCTACTCCAATCCCAAGTGCCTGCTCCCTTCCTCCCGTGGAACTCATGGGCTGAACAGCCATCCAAATAATAATAATAATAATAATAATAATAATAATAATGTTTAACATTTGCTGAGCACCTACTATGTGCCAGGCACTGCACTAAGCACTTCAGGTACATGATCTCATTTAAATTTCCACCACAATTCTGAGAGATAGGGACTGGAACCCTGTTCTGTCTGGCTTTGAGGGCGAAGCCTCAGTCTTGTGTTTATACTTTAACTGCCTGTGTATTCATTTGTTTTGTCTCCCAAATGAGACTGTAAACATAGTGGGCAAGGACAGGGATAATACATCTGTGTCTCTTACGTGGGGCGCTCATTGAACACTTGCTGGACGACCCAAAAGTGAAGTTAGAAACCGCTTGTTGGAAAAGAACGCATGTCAGAAAGCAGGACGTTCTGTTCGTCTTGAGGTTTTCATTCCCAGGGCAAAGTCCTTTTTCAAAGGAAGAGCTGGCCCCCCAAAATCAAGATGAACTCTTCACTGTAATTTCCAATCAATCAAAGATGACTTCAATTGAACTAATTCGTTAAAAATGAATAAGACTTTCTTCCCTCACTGCCCTTTCTCCTCTTGGAATAAGTCTGCCCTCAAAGGATGGAACTGGCTGGAAGTTAAAAGATACCAGTCCCTGGCAGATTACCCAGCACAGACGAGGTCCTCCACAATACTGACTTATGCTAATTGGGAGGTATTTTATTTATTACCCTTTGGGGAATTTGTACTGAAATGATCCAGGCCAGCTTCAGAACAAGAGAGGCCTGATTTCAGATCTGTGACATGGGGCAACTTACAAACAGATTCGTTTCGTAACTCCTACTGGCCAACCCTTTCTATCCTGAAGAGGGACTGTCATTTTTAAAACGAGAGGCAAGAATGACAAGTTATGTTTTGGATCAAGGTGTGAATTTCTCTCCTGAACTCAAATCGCACTCTATCAGCTTAATTACACATTTTCAAATACTAACCTCTGAAACTATCTTAGTGTTTTGCTTTTTTCCTTGTAAGTAGTTAACAGGAAGTGAAGGGAAACCATTACATCTACCTTTAAATCGCACTTAAATGAATAAGTATCTGGTCATCCCTAAAATAACAAACCACTTGAAGGCTGATCCGATGGGATAAAGAAACCTAAATGTAATAACACCAAATGGGAAAACATTACTCATGCGATGACAGGCTGAGAAAGGTCGTGTCCGAGTTTGCATGCAAGATTAGCTCCTGTCTCTGTACAATCCTGATAATTATATTAATTGTGATACTGTATCGGAAAGTACTAATTGAGCATACCAACGAAAAGGAATACAGAGAAAAGCTAATGAAAAGAAGCGAGGAGCAGGAAGATGAGCTTACAGAAAGCCACGCTGAGCAAATAACTGGAACGTAATAAATGGAAACCAATCTGGGGCTAGGAAAAAGTACTCCTCAAGTGCCACCCAGATGGCTCACTTATCATGAGGCGTGAGTTCATGCCCAAGAGATATGTTAGAAGGAAAAAAAACAGTGTGTCAACATTTGTTCATGAGTTTTCCCCTCCTGGCCAGGCAACCTGGGGACTATGGCAGCTGAAAACATCAACTCGAAGCCACTAAAAACCATGTTCCTAAATTCAGCATGGCAGTTTTGAGGTGAACATAATCTAACTTTCTCACTAACCTCAGCAGAGTAGAGAATCTGGATGTTACAGAACCCGCGTCAGACGATCTACATGGGTAATTTGACAGATGCTTACATACACAATTACGAAAAGATAACGAGGCCCTAAAACACAGGCCTCGGGGACAACACGAGTCTTTCCTGGGAGAGCAGGCAAGCCATCCTTTTCTAAGAACTTATTTCTATAGGTCTGAGCCTCTCAGGGAAAGGATATAAATAATGTTCTACATTTTTATTCTCGATGCTCTCAATATGAAACCATTCAGTGTTGAAAAGTGACTGTTGTTAAGGAATCATGTAAAAAAAGTAAATGTCACAAAATTTAATCTAATTCTTTTAACATAAAGAGGCTGCAGACTGTGTATACTAAGGGACACCCCTCCCCCACGTGTCACCCAGCTCTTCATTCACAAGCACTTCCTTTCTTGATTTGATACACACACGCTTTCCCAAGAACCTGTAGTAACGCTAAAATGACCCAAAAAAACATTTCCCACCTGTCACTTGAAATAATTGTACCCAACTGTTTCCATGACTGGGTTTTTTAAAATCTGTTATTTTTATCGCCTGGCAATAAAAACTGTCCTAGTGTGATTGTTTTCGTTTAAAATAAAAGTCGTGTGTCTTTTCATGGGCTCTGCCTCCCAATCTGAACACAAAAAAGAGAATGACATTTTTTTAAAAATCAGCAAAGTAACAGTTCTTTCTCAGGATGCACTTTCCCATTCGGGCAGCCCTCCCAGAGGCAAGGAAAGCAACTCGGAGGAAGCCACTAGGCCCCTGGGTCTCCCACCAGCCGCCCCGACACACCGGTGCGGGCCTGCGGGGACCTGTGAACGGTGCGCGTCTACGCGGGGGTCCCAGGGCCTCGGAGGCCAGCACAATGGCAGGATGATGGACGCAGGGCGTCCAGGAAGAGGAGGCAGGAGAGGAAACAGATGGCGGGGCCCGGGCTGCGAACCCCACTGCGAGTCCCTCCAAGTGTCACAGCCCGGGTGTCACAGCCATCACCCCGTCCCCCCGGCCGGGCCTGCGCGCATAGAGCCAGCGGCCGGGGCCATGGCACGGGGTCGGGTGGGCTGCGTCCTCGCCGGAGTCGCCCCAAGGTAGGCGCGCACCTTCCTGCTCCCCTGCTCCCCCCCAAACAAAACAAAACAAAACAAAACAAAAACCCTGACCCAGCCCTGTGGGGCCGTTTCTTTTGTCTGGCTCCAGGCTGACGACTTTCTGCCGGGAAGCTAACGGTCACGGCAGGGGGGGGGGGGGGGCCCGCCAGGTGCTCCCCGGCTCCCCGTCCCCCATCAGGGAATCGGAGACACCCCCTCCCCGGCGGCAGGCCCGGTCCCCCCGGGCACCCCCCGACCACCCCGCTGCCGGGGGGGACGAGCCCCCGCCGGGCCCGGCAGGACGGGGACCTCCGGAGGGGACCTGCCCGGAGCCAGGCCCAGGCCCCGGCGGCCCGGCCTCGCCCTGGGGAGCCGGGCCGCGGCGCCGGGCCGGGCAGGGAGCTAGGCCGCCGGGGCCTGGCCTTACCGCCTCCACGGCGTGCTGCAGGATGGACGTGAACTTGGAGAACATCCTGTCCCGGGACTGCAGCAGCCGCTCCCGGGACGACCGGGAGAGCTCCTCGATGCGCCGCCGCCGGCCCTGCTGCGGCTGCCGGGGCCGCTCCAGAGTGGAGGCCGGTGGGCGCCGAGGCCGAGCGGGAGCCGGGGGCCGGGGGGCGGCGGGCGGCGGGCGGCGGGGCCCCGGGGGCGAAGGCGGCGGGCGGCGCGGGGACGTGGCGGGCAGGGCGGTCCGGCGATCGGGCCCGCGGCGCTCCGGCGGCGGCTCCGGCGGCGGCGGCGGGGACACGGTGGCAGCCCCGCCGGCCCGGTTCCTTCCGCCCGCAGTGCCCCGCGCGGCCTGCAGGGGGCGCCGGCGCGGCCGGGAAGCGGGGCCAGGCCTGCCCCGCAGGGCGCCGGGGCGGAGCGGCCGCGGCCGGGGTGGGTGGGAGCCGGGCCCCGCGCTGCAGCCGCCGCCGGCCCCGGGCTTCCGGGCGCCGCGGACCCCCTCGGTGCACAGGGTCGAACCCGCAGCCAGCCTCCCGGTTGTGTTGCGGGTGGAAATCACACGCCGATGTTGTAGGGAAGAGTGGCCTTATTCGTATGTGGCAGGCTGGGCTCGTCTTTTTTTTTTTTTTGAGTCATGAATATTAAAACCATTTTTATGATTTCAATTTCCTAGTCCAGGTTTTTTTATTTTTATTTGATAAACAATCTTTTCATCCATTTATTGGCCACTAATTTTTCTACTGTGAGTTGTTCGTTTTCTTAATTTGGGGAAAATGTATTATTCAATTGCAGTTTACATTCAATATTGTTTTGTATTAGTTTCACATCTAAAGCATGGGTTCGTCTTTGAAGGGCAGCGTTGGAAGAACCGTATGAAAAAGCACCGTGTTCTTAAGACAAAGCGCACCCTGGATTTAAATGCTAGACACGAGAACAAATCAGCTGACACTGGTGAAATGGCTTTGCAAACTGTAAAATACATTCCTAGGACTAATTATTCAGCATTAAAATAGGAAGCCCCGCCCAGCCAGCCTGGCTCAGTGGCTGAGGATTGATCTTATGAGCTAGGAGGTTACAGGGTACATTGCCTGGGATGCGGGCTCCATCTCCAGTGTAGGCAATGAGCCCTTCTCATCATTGATGTTTCTCCCTCTCTCCTGCCTTCCTCTCTGAAATCAATAAAAAATAAATATATTCATTTAAATAAATAATAAAATAGGAAGCCCCAAACGGACCAATGGTGAGATGGGTCAGTTCATATGTTTCCTGGGTTATGCTCGGGCGCAATGAACTCGGTACAGCATTTTCTGTGCCGGATGACACTGGAAAGAATCGGAAGGGATTCTAGGAAAGGCAGGGCACAGATACTCGGAGCTACAGTGTAAGCAATGGGGCAGAGGCTTCTTAAAATACAATGCCACTGTGCGCACAAAGCGGGTTGATACCAACCATGAAAAATGTTCATTCATATCCTGGAGAACTTGGTGTTTGTTTTTGCTAGCGCTGGTGTTTTATCCAAAGGACCACTAGGTCCTTGATAAGATGATGAGGGCGGTGTAGGTGTTGCACAGCCAGTGATGAAAACACGTCCTGGCCGTTGAACCAGAAAAGGCAGAGAAGGCAGAGAAGGCAGCCAGCAGTGCAGCGCGGTTAAGAGAGACTCGGGAGCTAAGGAGCCTAAGTTGAAATCCCAGCTCTGCCCCTCACTGTAGAAAGTAATGTTACCACCGTGTGCTTTAGTTTCCTCATCTCCAAAATCCGAGAGGTCCGACCAGCATGGCTCAGGGGTTGAGCCTTGACCTCTGATCTAGGAGGTCACGGTTGGAGTCCATGTCAGGACACATGCCCGGGTTGTGGGCACCATCCCCAGTGTGGGGCCTTCAGGAGGCAGCTGGTCAATGATTTTCTCTCATTATTGATGTTTCTACAATATCTCTCTTTTCCTCTCCCTTCCTCTCTGAAATCAATAATAAAAAAAAAGTATATATCAATACATTTTAAAAATAAAAATAGAGAGAATAGCACAAAGTTGTGTGGGACTTAATATGTAAAACAGTGCCCAGCCCATAGTAAGCAATACATAGGCACTTGGTATTATCATTATTATTATTATTGGCAGTGATAGTATTTGCAAGAAAAAAAATAGGGCCAGAAATCAAGCTTTAGGGAGAGGACTTTATTTATTTACATACACTTTTCACCCTTACAGCAAGGAGAGCTGCCAAATTCCACTCACTGGGCCAGGGATCCTCGTGGTGTCCGTGGAAAACTTGCCCCTTGCTTAGCGCACTACCTCCACTTGTGTGTGAGTCCATGGACCACCAGCGGCCTCAACACCATGCTCTAGCAATGTGCTGAAGGAGAGATCGTGGCTGGTCTTGTCTTCCTTTCTCCTCTGTTCATGTTGCTTGAATCCATGCACGGCAGGTAGATTTGGCCTTAATTTACGGGGTACTGGCCCCAGAATGCTGGGTCATGTTCTCTTGTTGGCTGAACGCTGACTGACATGCACGCCTACGCAGATTTTGGCTAATTGTGTCTGCTTCAGCCAACAGTCCATAATGGCTATTATTATTATTATCATTATTCACACAGGTTAAGATGGCTAGTCATATTATTAACCATACTTATTTTCCTGACCTAATTGTCCTACATTCATGTGGCATTTGGCATTTTCATCATGCCTCAGCACCACTAATTGTACAGGGAGGTCTGTGTAAGACGGGCTTCCTTAGAGTTGTTCCCATTTGATGATGCCTGTCGTTGTCTGTACACTTTATTATCAGCACAATAAAGTATATGTCCTACTCTAGATGAATAGCAATATTTAGGAAGATGATTCACCTGCCTCATATCTCGGTTCCAAGACATATGGTACAAGTTGGGCCAGAATTGTAATTGAGCAGATATCCTTGCCTCCTCGTCTCATCCTTGATGCCTGTGGCCCTGAGATTATCACCTGCCTTTTGCAAGGGCAGAAATGAGCCTACCTCAAGGAAATGGGATTTGAGAACGCATAACAGAGGCTTCCTTTAGCCTCCTAAACCCATATATGCGGTTGCCGGAAACTCCCCAATTAGAACTTTATTCCAGTGCCTTAAGCCAAATAAGAAATATAGTTGCTGCTAAAACTAAAATACTCTTCCGAGAGATTACAGACACATTAAACTCTATCCTTCATTACGCCTCAGGGTGAGTGTGAATGAATGTGTTAAGTTCTTCTCTGAATGAAGTTTAATCCGTGAGGACGCAGAAAAAAAAAATGCATAAAATTGAAAATTAGTTGGGATGGAGTTGAAAAAAAGAGACAGAAAAAGGAAATGGAGTTAGATGATGCCTAACTTCCGAAGTTTGGCAGACTTCTGGTGAAGTGTGTGGGTTGAATTTAGCCATATTCCGTCCCCAAATGCCATTAAAATTAAGGGGATTTCTCAAGGTATAAACCCAAGAGGGCTAATAAAGTCAGAGAGGAGAGGACAGCAATAAAATTCTGAGAATTGGGAAGTTTCTGTAAAGGAGGTGAATCCCAAGGCAGCAATTAAGAAAACCAAGAACCAAAGTAATGTATTCATACACCTATAAAATCTCTCAGGATCTGGTGGCAGTAGGTACCTCTGGAAGTGGAAATAATAGTGGGACACAAATAGCAGAATGAATTAGAAGTCTGTTTAGCCCCTTCCCCACTCCACCAGGTTCTTGGCTAACTGCCCCCTTCCCACCCTGGTAGAAGATTAGAGATTACCCTGACAACACAGAAGGTCCATATTGGGGGGTTGGGGTGGGGGTGATGGAGTGGAGGGAGAAGAGGATTAAGTGAAAAGTGAAAAAAACCTTGTAAATATTGAGATGCATGTCCTCCATCCTCATCCTCCTCTTGGCACAGAATACAGGCCTCAGACTGATCTCTGCAGGTGGAAGACAGGAAGAGTTCTCGCTAGAGAAGCTGACAGGCCATAGGAATAGACCTGAAGCTCCTGGCGAGGGAGCCCAGGATACTCTGCAGCGCAGCCCTCAGCGGGCAAGCTCTGTCCGCATGCTCAGAGCTGCAAACAGTTTTTTTTCAGGGATTTCTTAAATAGGGCCAGACAGCCTGGGGTCATCCACAATTCAAAGAAAGCTGGTAACATTAGTGATGGAGACCAAAAGAAAAAAAGAGACAGGACAAAAAAAGAAACTTGTAGGAAACACAGTTGCTTGCATTCAACAGATAGGGAGAGATGGAGAAGAAATCTTAAATAAGAAAAAAAAATAAAAAAGAAAAAAAACAACAACAATAAAAACACTATCACTAATATTTCCAGAGAGATAAAAGATACTGCATCAGTAAAACATGATTATTATGTTATTTTTTAAAGCACCATTTAGAGAGCATTTATAAATCAAGAATAATGGTAACAGAACTTTAAGAACAACACAAAAAAAAGATGAAAAGTAAACTTGAAAAAATTTCCCAAAGACTAGAGCAAAAATGATACAGAGATGAACACTTGGGGGGCGGTGTGTAAAAAAATAGAGGGGCCAGTCCAGCAGACCCAACATCTAAATAATTGAAGAGAGTAAAGAGAGGAAATCATTAAACTAATAATTTAATATAATTTTATAGATCTTAAAGGCATGAGTATCCAAATTCAGAGAGTGCATTAAATACCAGAACAATGACTGCAAACAGACTCACCCTAGTGGCCAGTGTTGTAAAATTTCAGAACACCGGGTTCAGAGAAAGATCCTATAAAACTTGTAATGAGGAGAGGAAAAAGAAAATGAATTCATACCAAGAATCAATAGTTATAATGAATTACACTTTTCAACAACAATAACGTGGGACGTGAGAAGGCATTGGGGCAAAGCCTTCCAAATTCAAAGGAAAAAAATTTTTCCATCTAGAATCCTATTGCTAAGGAACTGTCAATTCAGTGTGAAGGTATCAATAGAATAACTCGTGTCAGATGTGCCAAGTATTGAAAACTTTTCCTGCCTTGCACTCTTTCTAAGGAAGCGATCGGAAGTTGTGTTTCACCAAAACTCGGGGAGTAGGCCAAAGGAGAAAATGACGAGGGAACTAGATAACAGTGCCCACCACAGGACGGTGATGAAGGAAATGTCTAAGACACATGTGTCAAACACAAGGCCCGCGGGCCAAATCCGTCCCGCCAGGCCTTGCAATGTGGCCCGCACCGCGCTGTCATCACTGCACTCTGCTGCGTTTCCATCACAATGACAGTTTATGACTGTTCAGTAAACCATTCGGCCCGCGATTTAGGCTGGATTTTAGATTTTGGCCCCTTCTCTGATTGAGTTCGACACCCCTAGTCTAAGATAATGGTGAAGCAGAATCGCAGCATGACAACTATTCCTCAAGCTGGGATAGCAAGCAGGTCAGAAGAGATTTCCTCAAGAAGATGAAACTGAGAGAGGGAATAGCTCTGAGTTTGAGTAGCTCTACAGTAGAGGAGCAGAGCTTGATGTTGGCTTAGGGATAAATACAAAGAAAACAAGACAAAGAAGAAACCTAGATCATTATTATCACCCAGAAAAATAAAGTACTGTGCAGGAACACATGAGCATAGTATCCATGGCTCAACTGTAAATAGTGTTGACATAGCCATAATAATGTAAACACTGGTCTAATTAAAGTTGTGGAATTGCTCTATTGAGAAGATGAAAAGATGGATATGTGGTGGAGATGGAGAGAGGGGAGGGTGTATAAGAGAGAAAGCTAAGGCCCCTTTAATGGGAAAACATTAGATATTGCTTAAAACAGAGATATCAAGAAGTAGCAGGCATATTATTTAATGAAAGGAAGTAATAAAAGAGTCCACTCAAAGTGCGAAAAAAGGTTGCCTGTGTGGAGCAGGAAATGAGGAGTTTTGGAGAAAGAGCAGGGGCGTTCATAACAAACCTCGTAAAAGCTCTTGAATAAACAATATGCTGGTGTAACTGATATGCCCAAAGTTAGTTTGGCCAAGGGAGAAACTAGAGGCAAGAAACCATTTTTAGTACTTTCTACAGAAACTGGAAGATAATGCTTGTTTGTTGTTTTAAGCTACTAATTTGGAGGTAATTCATTAAGCAGCAATCTATACTATTATAATAAAAGGGTATTATGCTAATTAGACCAGACATCTTCCAGACAACCTTCTGGATGTCCTCTGGACAAAGCTACAGTGGTGGGGGCTGAGGCAGAGGCAATTAGGGGTGATCAGGCTGGCAGGGGCAAGCAGTTAGGGTGTGACTAAACAGTCAAGGGAGAGCAGTTAGGGGGTGACCAGGCTGGCAGGAGAGAATGTTAGGGGGGGCCACCAGACCGACAGGGGAGAGTGGTTAGAAGGTGATCAGAAGCAGTTAGGGGCAATTAGGCAAGCAGGCAGGTGAGCAGTTAGGAGCCAGCAGTCCCGGATTATGAGAGGGATCCCCTAGTGGAGAGGGTGCAGGCAGGGCTGAGGGACCTCCCACCCTCATGCACGAATTTCATGTACCAGGCCTTTAGTACATAAATAATACGGAGAGTTTTTGTAACTTGCTCAAAGTCGCTGGAGGCTGATTTCCAATGAGAGCAGAGGATTCCTGACTCAATGTTTTATTAGATCCATTGTATGCTGGTCCCTTGGACTTCTTTTGTCCTTGGACACACACCGATTCAGAAAGTGTTAATAACTACCTAAAAGTTCTGTTTTGTTTGTAGGCAAAATGAAATGAAAGTTGGGCCACTCTTCCTCATGGACTGCAGAATACGGTTCAATAAGGTAAAGATGTACTTTGACCTTGCCATGGCGTAATGCATAAGCATTTCTATCTTCCTGCCACAATTTCTGGAAGGATAGAGAGGACTGATTCAACTGTGTGCAATAGCTTGGTGATAAAACCAGAAATATAACTTCTACTTGACTTCTTTTAACCATTCCATAAGAATGACAGAGCAGTGGTCGGCAAACTCATTCGTCAACAGAGCCAAATATCAACAGTACAACAGTTGAAATTTCTTTTGAGAGAAAAAAAAAATTAAACTTAACGATATAGGTAGGTACATTGTTATTAACGTCATTAGGGTACGTGGTATTTTATGGAAGAGCCACACTCAAGGGGCCAAAGAGCCGCATGTGGCTCGCAAGCCGCTGTTTGCCAACCACTGACATAGAGTATGCAATGTTATTCAGTCATGTAAATGCTTCAAGAATTCTGACCTTCCTGTGCAGTGAATCAGAGACAGGACCTCGTGTCTGCATTTCTGTCTGCTGTCTCTAAATGGAATATTCAGAGAAGGGCAAATTGCCAAAAAGGCACTTTGTGGCTTCCATTTCCCTGCTGTAGAGTCTCCCATTTGGATGCACATGACTATTGTGTTAGCGTTTTGTGTGACCTGTGACTTACAGTTTGGGTCTCAGTTTTTAAAAATGTAATCATACAACATTCTTATTTTTTTCCTTCCTTAAGGATATAGCTAGAAAAGTAGGGGGGTGGGGTGGGAGTAGAAAATTGGGTTTGGGTTTCAGTAGAACATGTATAGTTTTAAAAGTTAATTTCAAGTGTTGTTGAGGCTCCATGAACTCGCACCAACTTTTAGATATATTTCCAATTATTCCTTATTACAGTCAGTAAGTTAATGTTCTACCGTTTCCCCGAAAATAAGACAGTGTCTTATATTAATTAATTTTTTCTCCCAAAGTTGCGCTAGGTCTTATTTTTAGGGGATGTCTTATCTTTCCATGCACTAGGTCTTATTTTCGGAGGATGTCTAATTTCGGGGAAACACGGTATCAAATATTCCCAGAATTAGGGGGATTCTTGGGTGTTTACATATTTTTTTCTCACTATCATTGAAAAAAAAATTTGCCAGCTATTCCCTAGTATCACTTATTTTCTTGAGAGTCATAGTAAGATAATTTTCACTCCCTTGACATTTTAGCATTTACACGCGCGCACACACACACACACACACACACATGCACGACCAACTTATACTACAAAAATATTGTTAACGGAACATAATTTTAAAGGGTAGGCTCTATATTTTATCTGGCAACCCTACCATTTTTTTAAACCTAATAACTTTTTTTTGGTTTACATTCAGTATTAGTTTCAGGTGTACAGCACAGCAGTTAGTCAATCATATACTTTACAAAGGGATCCCCCTGATATTTCCAGTACACACCTGGCACCATACACAATTACTGCAATATTATTGACTGTATTCCGTGTGCTGTCCTGTACATCCCATTATTTTCTAGCACAGTGCCACTCGGCTTTTCGTGCCACCTGTAGGTGGCAGTCTAGTCAAATAATTTCATGAGAGCTGCTTGGCAAATCCAAGTTTAATACTATATATTACGATAATCCTATCGTATTGTTTAATAAGGCTATTATTAAAATATTTCTAAGAATATTAATTTTTATATAAATGAAGTTTTCACAAAAGAGAGAGAGATTTTGAAGTTGCTAGAAATGAAATAGAATTCAGTCCTTATTCCACAACCTACCATCAAACAGATTCGAAGCCCCGTGTGGTCCAAATCCAGTAAGCTACAGTGCCTTTTATACTTTAACTAGAGGCCTGGTGCATGAAATTTGTGCAAGAGGCTCGGCCCTCATAGCCCCGGCTGCCTCTGCTGGTCCTTGCAGCCCAGCTTTGTCCAGAAGGTCATCTGGAAGGTTGTTCTGTTGTTCAGTCTAATTAGCATATTAGCTCTTTATTAGATAGGATGATATTTTGAGAATTCTTTAATTTTTCATGATAGAACTACATAAAAACAGGAACTCAATGATCATTTGTTCTCACATTCATGCATACTCCCCCCTGCCTATTCTGCTAAGAGGGCTTCTTATCACAGAGGTCTGTCTTCTTACAAAGCCAAGGACAGACATCCGTAAAGTTCAATAAGGTCCCTCAGCAACATATTCCTTTGTCAAATACTGTATTCTAGAGAAGAACAAGTATACGTTCTTTTGAATTTTAATGCAGTAGCCTTTATTTTTTTTAACAGAAAAGTTAAATCTCTTTCTGGTTGCTGCCGTTACTCCTTATCTTCTGAGCTGTGACCGTGTACTTAGCACTGCACAAAACCGGCACATCCCCTTTCCATGGCTCATGCTGTGAAACCACCGAAGCAGTAGGATCGATGAAGTCAGGAGTTTTGAAGGTAACACTTTTAGGTATTTTAGTTCACAGGTATCTTAATGTGTGTTGATGTATAAGCTATAAAACGGAGTGCAGGTTAAATATTTGAGAAATAAACGCTGCGCTAGGTGGCACTATTTGGTAATATGCTACTTAGGTTGAACTTGACTGGTTAATGATTTTCATACACTTTGCTGTATTCCAGTAATTGTTCTGCAAATAGAAAATCTATTAAGTATTTTATGAGTATTAAGGTAATTTATTCTTTGAATGAAAAAATTGAAAAATACCAAAAAAATTATCTATAATTCTGTTTAGCTATCTTACAAATGTGGTGTGTTTTTTGTTTGTTTTGTTTTGTTTTTCTCTCTGTGGTCCAGGAAGCTCTGAATAAGGCATACATTTTGGAGCCAAACAAACCTGGTTTCAAAATCCCCATGTAGCTCATGGGAAAAAATCTTTATTTCCTTAGTTCTGTTTTTTTAAATCTCAACTTCTGCCTCCAGCCATCATTCCTTTCTTTCAGAAAGCTGCGCATTGTCTTTCCTTTATGATCTTCATTGCACTCCTCCACCCACTGTAATCCGCCTTCTGTCCCCTTAGTCCAGAAATGACTCTTCTTCAAGTGGCTCATGCCCCGTTTGTTGCCAGATCCAGGGCCCACTCTCCCATCTCCATCTCACACTCCCTCTCAGCAGCAGTGTTGTTCTGGAGCCTAGCGGTCATGGTACTTGGTAGTGGTTTGTGTGCATCTTTTTTCAACTCCAAGTTCAGCCAAGACATGTTGGTAGCTGGAATTAGCCAGGGGGAGAGTATTTATACCATGGGAATCAGCAAATGCTACTAATCAGCCTTTCCTCACCTTAGCCACTTGTTAAGCAATGACTCGCTTGGATATAGGCAATCATGTTTCCCTTCACAGAATTCTCTCTCTTTCTTAAATTAGTACTGCTCTCTCCTGCATGTCTTTCCACCTTCTCATTGGCTCTTCCTCTATTCAGTGCTACCTGTTAGCACTCCCCAGGAGTCAGTCCTAGGCCTCTCGTCTTCCTTTCATGTACTAGCTTTGCCCTGCTGGCATGGCTCAGTGGTTGAGCGTCGCCCTATGAACCAGGAGGTCAGTCACGGTTGGATTCCTGTTTAGGGCACATGCCTGGGTTGTGGGCTCACTTCCCAGTATGGGCTGTGCAGTAGGCAGCCAATGATTCTCTCTCATCATCGATGTTTCTATCCCTCTCTCTCCCTCTCTGAAATCAACAAAAATATATTTTAAAAAATAATCTCACCAATTTCCATGTATTTAAACATTACCATTATGCTGATCAAATTGAGATTTGTATCTGCAGCCCAGACCTCACCTCTAAGATCCAAACTCAAATATCAAACCACTTAGTTTAACTTGTACTCAATGTTTTACAGACATTTCAACCTCAAGGCCAAAACCAAGTTCCGATTTAACTTCATTAGCTTTTCCCTTTAACTGCTCCATCCCAACATTCTCCAGTTCAGTAAATGGAACTGGAATTTTATTTAATTTATTATATTATATTATATTATATTATATTTATTATTTATTTTATTTTATATTTTATTTATTTCATTTTATTTATTTTATTATTTTATTTTGTTTATTTTATTTTATTTTATTTTATTATTTTATTTTATTGTTGGTTTATCCTTACCCGAGGATATTTTTCCATTGATTTTTTTTTAGTGAGAGTGGAAGAAAGTGGGAGAGACAGAGAAAGAGAGACACGTGGTTTGGTTGGCTCCCACACACGCCTCCACCAGCACTTGGGGTCGAGCCTGAAACCCAGGTACATGCCCTTGACCAAATCGAACCTTTAATCTGTGGGCTGACACTCTATTCACTGAGCCAAACCAGTAAGGGCTCTTATTTTTTTTAAAATCCTCACCTGAAGATATGTTTTTATTGATTATTTTAAAGAGAGAAAAAGGAGAAAGAGAGAGAGAGAGCGAGAGAGAGAACTTCAGTATGAGAGAGAAACATCAATCAGTTGCCTCCTGTACATGCCCTGACCCAGGATCAAACCCACAACTGTTTGGAGCACAGGATGACACTCCAAACAACTGAGCCATTGGCCCAGCCAAGACATTTTATTTTAAAGAACAACAGTGAGACTATGGCAGTTTCTTCAACAGACACTATGGAAAAAAGATGATGGGATAATTTCTTTATTGGTGGAAGGAGAAAAAATGTTATAAAATATATCACTAATGATTTTACCTACACCCAAAATGGATTTGTTGTCTACCATCTCATATTTATGACTATTATGGGCATCCTTTGGAACATTCTCTTTTAAAAATATATTCTATTGACATCAGAGAGGAAGGGAGAGGGAGAGAGAGATAGAAACATCAATGATGAGAGAGAATCATTGATCGGCTGCCTCCTGCACACCCCACACTGGGGATCAAGCCCACAACCCAGCCAGGTGGCTTGACCAGGAATCAAACCATGACCTTCTGGTTCATAGGTCGACACTCAACCACTGTGCCATACTGCTTGGGCTGGAACATTCTTTCACACTCTGAATTACTTGGCCTCACATCATCTCATCCTATATAATAAAAGGCTAATATGCAAATCAACCAAACGGTGGAACAACCGGTCGCTATGACCTTTACTGACCACTAGGGGGGAGATGCTTAATGCAGGAGCTGCCCCCTGGTGGTCAGTGAGCTCCCACAGGGACAGTGCTGCTCAGCCAGAAGCCAGGCTCATGGCTGGTGAGTGCAGTGGTGGTGGCAGGAGCCTCTCCCACCTCTGCTGCAGTCGGACATCCTAAGCCAGCAGTCAGACATCCCTTGAGGGCTCCCAGGCTGTGAAGGCCACAGGCTGGGCTGAGGGACACCCCCAAGTGCACGAATTTTGTGCACCAGGTCTCTAGTCATTATATAATTTGCAGCTTCACAATTGTGTGGCATAAAGATCACCTGTGCCGGGTTATGCGTACTGGAGCCTTAGTCTCCTTTAAGGTGATGCTTACTTTTATTCTCCACCACTTTGACTCTGCCATCAATTATAGCGTCAATATAATCTCACCAGGACTGACATTGCTTTGACCCTATTAGCGAGAGTGCTGTGCCTGTATATTGGAAATACGGCTGGTATTAGAAGCTTCTGTTCTAATGTCTATATTGAATCTTAGGGATTTAGAGTTTTGTCACAAACTATACAGCAGGTCATTTTTCTTTGTGGTGCGTAGGAATTCACTACACTCGCAGGGGAGAGGCGGATGGAGTTCCATCATTCAGGCAGTAGGGCCAGCATTGGGCTGCAGGCTCCTTTGGTGTGATTTGACTTATCTAAACAGTGAAGGAGAGGGTGTGTAAATGTGTATCTTCAGTGCCCCTGTAGATTCATTGCTGGTGAAACAGAGCCGTGGGAACTTCCTGTGGTCACTGCACATCCTGGCCTACCTATGGTGTTTGGAACGAGCACCCAGTATCTACCAGGTGCTTCACCTCTCTCCCGGAACTAAGGAGACACCAGCCAGCAGTACTACATAGACCCTGACCATTACAACGAGCCGGTTGCCACTCACCTCAAACGTTCCATGTAATGTTCCATCCAGATCTGTCCTCAGGTTGCTTGAGTACCTGTGTTTCGTGTTTTGTTTTGTTTTGTTTGGTTTTGTTTTCAGGTCACTGGTTCCTGGGCTGGGTGCCTTTGGACACCTAGCACTTTTTGGCCTGACTCCTGTAGGGCCTGCAATCTGTTCCTACCTCTGCATGGATTCCCTGTGCTGACTTCCTTTCAAGAGCCTACCTCTGAAATATTTAGCATCCTCAGAATCTATATTTCTACACATGAAATATTTAACATCTCCACTCTGCTCTACCAAGCCCTGACACTGGCCCTCCTTTCTAGATGAGACACGTTCAAGGTCTGCATTCTGGCCTGGATCTGGATTTGATTACTCATTCCTGTGTTTTGATTTTATCCCAATTTTACTCACTGTTTTCCCCAAGTTAGTGCCAACTGCTATGTAATGTTCCCGGCATGCTGCATGATGAACCTCTAACCCCCTGCTTCAAAGTAACAATTGCATTGTGTTAAGTCTCCCACATAATAACAAATAAATCATTTACTATTTGCTAACGGGTGGAATAGACACCATACAAAATGTAATTCCTAAGGAACTAACAGCTATCAACCACAGCAGCATGTTCTACCTCTACACGTCCATTTTAGCGTGAGGTCTCTAAAATGTCTTAGATGTGGGCACAGTTAGGAGGCTAAGGTGAACTGAACACAGGTTTCAGAGTAGAAGTGATGGACAATTGGATTGGCGTCTTCCAGCATCAGTTCAGAAGCTCCTTAAGTGAAAAACAGGTCCCTCATGGGAACACAGGGGAGTAAGCTCCACACAACATGCCCATTATTAACCAAGTAAAAATTACCATTTTTTTTTTTTTGTGTGTGTGTGTGTAATTTTTGGTAAATTACCTGCATCCTCAGGCCCACTCCCTGGGGCCTAAGCCGTCAGTTGGATATCCTTAGTGCTGTTGGACATCCTTAGCGCTGCTGAGGAGGCTGGCTGAGCGGTGCTCCCCTCTGTGGGAGAGTACTCACCACCAGGGGGCAGCTCCTGCATTGAGCGGCTGCCCCCTGGTGGTCAGTGTGTGTCATAGTGACCAGTCATTCTGCTGTTCAGTCGATTTGCATATTACCTTTTATTATATAGGATTCTCAAGGCAATGGGCAGAATACACTGCAGTGGGTAAAGGCTGGATGCAGGGAGAGCAGCTAGGCTAGTCATATAATCTTCCTTTGGGTAAGAAGGAAGGTTAATAGTGGACTAAGGATAGTGGGAAAGAAGACTTATTTTGAGATTGAGGTGACTGGCAAATTTTCTGCCTAGAAGACAGTGAAGGGGATATTATCAAGAAGGATGGTGAATAACTAGTTAACTTTTGTAGCAGGTAGTTAATTTGAAAATTTCTACTCTCGTTACCTATCTTTTCCCCACTATTCCCTTACCCACATGGTCATTTGATTGGGCTTTCTTCAGTGATGCTCAATTGTCCACCAATTATTTTTTTTCTAGAGTTATTAGAGTCACCTTTTCTTGGAATATTTCAGATTTGTCAGACCCATTATAAAATTCCCAACAGATCTGTATAGGTTTGAGAAGCGCCTACACAGACAATAACTGGAACCTCTAATGTGAGAGTGTATGGTGTCATAGAAGACAGGGGAGGGAGTAAGTGGGAATCCCTGACTCTTGGAATTCTCCCACCATCGGAGAGGTCTAAGACACCACATCTGTTCCAGAGCTGGGGTCCCACTTGCTCAGTGCAGCTCTGCTGGGTCTGGTGGCTTTGGTTATGTTGCTCATTCGCATCAGACTCCAGCTGGTAAAATGCCAGGGCAGCGGGAGATTGTGTCTATATTTTCTCGTTTTTGCTCTAATATACAGAAAAAGTGGGTCTGCGTAGAGTCTTCACCTTCCCCTCCAGCCCAGCCCAGCCCAGCTCTGACACTTCAGAATTTACGCAATGAACCCAGTGTGTCCACAGCAGCGATTCTCAATCCGTGTGCCGCGGCAGGCATGCTGGTGTGCCACAGGAATTCCTAACACCGGCAATACCTGACTGTCTCATCGTGGGCACTGACCTTTTTTCTTTAGATCGTCAA